CCCCCCCCCCCCCATGTTAATGAGGGCTTCTTAAATTAAGACTTAGCATTTTTATATGCAAGCATTCAGGTAGGACTTACCTTTCCTTTAGGCATTTGAGTAGGTTTTGTAGAAATAAACTTGGCTACAGTTTTGAGTAGTCTGGATAAGAATCCCCTACCCTGTCCCTCAGTGAAGTGTCACTTTTTGATTCTTGCTGATGCTTTTGTACAGACATCCCACCTTTGTGTTTTTGCTTGCTCTCCAGCTGATTAGTGTGTTCTATAGAGGAAAATGCCTGCATTTCTAAGCCAGTGGCAAGGGAGTGCACTGCTTCCTTTGAAAATAGTGAAAAATCTTAAATAAACAATAAAGAAAAACAGTCCTCTCCTCCACTTCCTCCTCTTCTACAATGACATTTGCTGTTACTCTCTGAAGGCAGTAATTGCCAGCCGGCGTGGTGGAGAGCTGAGGACACGCGAAAGGGTGCGGCGGGGAGGGCAGGAGCCCCGCAAGGCGAAAGCAGCCAGACGGACCAAGAAAAGCTCGGGCGCTACGTTCTTAAACTAAAAATGGACGCTGCTGAATGCCAAAACCCGTGCGGGCAGGCAGACCTGCCGCTGCGAAGCAGGGAGGGGGGAAAATACAAAAGGAGTAGAAGTTTACCATTATGCAAAAGAACTTTAGGCTAAGTTTGTGCAATAACGTAGCCCATTGTCTGCTCTGTGCTTTGGCATGCAGAACAGACTCTCATTTATTAAATAAGAGCATGAAAATATTTCTTTGCTTTATTGTTTGTCTGCTGAGAAGCAGTTAGTTGTGCGTGGAGGTTAATTATTAAAGGCTTAGTTGTCTGCCAGACTAAACAATTTATTTCTCTCCAAAGAGACCGATAACCATTGACAGAAGTGTATGTTGTACTCCAATAGTTACGAGGCGGGACAGACAAGAGATGCTAGAGGGTAGAACATGCATTCCACCAAGGTTTTAATCAGGTAATCTTGTCCCGAGGATTTGGAGGGCGTTCCCCAAGCTCTGCAGACCCCGCCTGTCCTCAGAGCTGGGTTTTGTGAAGGGATCAGATCAGATTTTGTGCGTGTGCGTGTGAGGGGCCGAGGCCGGGCAGGCGCAGGAACAGGTGATGGCCCTGCCTGGCAGTGGAGCATGTACAGTGGGTTTACTTTGAGTCAGCGTGGCTTGCTCTCGCTTAAAAGCTGGCCTGCACAATTTTTATTTTTTTTTTTCAGGGAAGTACTGCTGGAAAATGTGTTAGCATGAAAGCACTGATATTTACAGGGTTTTTTCCTGTTTTTTATCTGTTAGCTCTTCTCTCCTGGCAGAAGAGGCAGTGAGTTTTAGGTGCTCGTTAGTGCTTCTAGGCTGTAGATTACTGCTCACATCCATGGCTGAGCTGCCCACCAGCATTGCGTTCTCATCTCTTTCAGACAATAGAGTACAAGTTAGCTGAAACAACTCAGGTAAGGTCATTTGAAACAGGTCAGGCAGCCGTAGCATGAGTAGCTGGAGAGAATCAAAAGCAGCAGGCACTCTGTGGCTCTAAAGTTAGATTTTTTGCCTTCCCACTGGAAAAGTGCTTATGATCCGTATCTTAAAGAAGGATTGTATGGTGCTGGTACATAGGAAGGTAACTGTTTAGAACTCGTTGTGGCTCGGTCCCAATTTTCATAACACAACTGACAAACTTGTAGCAGTGTGTGGAAGAATTAAACCAGACGGCTGAGGTGAGAGGGGAGCTGTAGCAGAAGTGTCATGTTTCCTGTATCCACTGCCTGGTACTGGTGTTTAAAGCCTCTTTAAAAGACAAAAATGGACCTGGCAACAACCAGGTCACCTAGGTTCCTGTCTGGGGTTTTTGTGTTTTGATATAGGGAGGGTTACCTTCTGCAAAGGGCTACCTTCAAGCAAATGCTTGGGGGGCTGTATGGCGACTTCTCCGGCCCACTGGTGGTTCTTTGTAGCAATCTTAAACAGAAGGGCTTAGCTGAGGCAGGTTAATTTTCGTGTGCTGCGGGATCATTTTCATTTGTTTTGGACTTGGCTTTGTTGGAAAGATTGCTGACTTAGCTCCTATCAGGGTGTTAGGGCTTCGAGTTAGTTAAGGATTGATGTAAAGATCAAGAATAGATCTTCCTCTGCTGCCTCACAGCTTGCTGTCTAACAATTTGAAAAAAGTATCGGTTTCATTTGTTCCAAACCATCTGATTACTCCCGGTAATGTTCCATTCTTGTCACTTCGGCAAAGATGGACCATTTCTTACCCAAACAAACCATAGCTGGTTATCACTTGCTATTCTTAGATCAGTAGCAGTATCACCGTCAGTGCAGCAGGCATGATAACAAGCTACGAACCTCTGTAGAATTAGTAAGTTTGTTAACCAGCATTGCGTGAGGCCAGTCTTATTTTCCTGCCTGTTTGTAAGTCTTCAATAAAAGCACAAAGGAGGGATGTGTCTGCTGCATTTTTCAAAGCTGGGTCTCTGAACTGGGGCTCTAAAGTCGATCTTCAGGTGTTTGTGAGAGTACACTAAGCTCACTCTTAATGGAGGTGAGATGCGTCTGATTTTCCTGAGGTTCGTTGGTCCGCAGCGCTTCCGTCGGTCTTCAGATGTTCAAATTGGAATAGCTGCGCACTCCAAAGTGAACAGCTCCCATACATTCCACGTGGGCCTAATATGCTGTAATTAAATGTTCACGTGCTGCCTTCTGCAGCAAAAAGCCAAATAGATCATGTAATTAGGTCCTTGCAATACCCTGTGTCTCTTGGCAATATCAATCCTTTGGCTTTTTGTGACGCTCCACTCTGTGCCTGTGTCACTTGATGACTGCAGGACAAAATAGAGTTAAGTATTTTCCAGCAGTCTTGATGTGATACAGTTGTGCTGAGATTTAGAGATGATAAACGTCTGAGAATCTTTTAACAGGCATTACTGAGCCACTGCACGTTATTGCTGTGGGACAAGGTAACAGCTTTAATTTTACTGAAGCTGGTTTTTGTTTTGTTGGGGTTTTTTGCCCCCCCTTTTTTTTTTTTGGCCATGTACATGTAATGGCACAGTAGAGGAGCTGGTCTTACGATTGTTTATACTTAGGGATAATTTCTAGTGTGAGAAGCATAGTTGGGTTTTCTGTTTATAGATGGCAAATAACTTGTGTTTATTACTTGAGAGAATTCTACCAGACTCGTTAGGATAAGGTTAATTTATTTCTATCACCAGAGCTGTAGGTGTTTGCTCACAAGCTTGAGCTAGAAATGTGATTTTACCCTTTGTTTTCCATAGCTGTTCGAATCTGAGATGTGGAAATTTTTCGTGTGTTTTTTGGTTTTCTTTTTTTGTTTGAGAAACTGGGCTAGGATTCTTGATTTGTTTTCAGTGATGTATTTAATCTTGCAGGAAGAGTTCATTTTCTACGCCCTTGCGAACCCCAAGTCTTTTGACAGCCTAGGAACAACCGTGAACATGACGCCCGCTGCGTGGAGCATGGGGTGTTTGCTGGAATACTTTCAGATTCTTTATAGGACTTTATTTTTGTCAGGCTATATCTGCTGTTTCTAAGAGCTGTGTTAGTTAAAGGGTCATTCTATGGCATTCCTTCCTCTCAAAACTGGAGAATTAACTTCTCAGGGATATACGTTACTTGGATGAGATTTTTAGCATGTAATTTAGTTTGTTGTCTTACTCTGTCTCCAGACTGAACCTTGCACCTCAGCTAAGTGTTTGTCCTTTGTAAATACCACTTAAATCTCAGTATCAGGGTATTACTGGGTGGTGAGGAATACTGATTCGTCAGAAACCCAGACGCACTTTGGTCCACTCGGCATGTGTGGAATTTTTGCATGTGTTTTGAGATACGACGTTAAAATGCTTTCAAACCCTCTGATGTATTGCGGTTCTAAAAATGGGGTCTTTGTATACCATTGTGAGCAGCACGCTCGTTATCACTGCTAAGATTTGTTTATGGTGAAAACGTTCTCCCAGTTACTGTTCTGACAAAACTGAATTTGTTAAACAAAATGAGAAGCCAGATTTATCAGATACAGTTAAGCTTTGCATAAAATGATGTGTATGATCTTGAAAATAGCATTGTGCGGCCACTGGACCAGGTCTTCTAATTGGAGGTAGCAAGGTGGTAGTTGCAGCCCAAACATTGTGGTATGCTGCTACAGTACTAAGAAATAACAATTAAATTGAGCCCGCTATCCTCTGTGAAAAGAAGAAATACTAACCATTGATAAGGTCTCTTCTAATTCTTTCAAAAAAAAGAACTGATACGCACTTTACCTACAAGTTTTATGTTTCCTGTGAAAGCATGACTGAACTGACATGGCTATCCTTGTACGTTTTATTTGCTTGTTAGATTAGATATTTTTAAAAGAGGAGTGTTTCAGCTAGTCAAATCATTGTTCATTTGTTCCTCTGAGAGGATTTCAGAGCTGCAGAGCTCAACAGTCCGTTTGGCTGCTGGCCTGGCAGCAGGCTCGCCCCACGGACAGCCATTCTGCAGCAGTGCTGGCTGGCTGAGCCAAGCTGGCTGATTTAAAACCGACGTGGGAGATAACGCCGTGCGCGGATGTAAAAGAGAGGGCTATGCGCAGCTCCGTGCCGATGAGAGGCAGCTGCTGAGATGTTACGGATTGGCGAGGAATACTAAGATAGGTGTATTTGCACTCAGCAAGACACAGAAAGAAACACCGGTTCACTTGTGAGCTGGTATTGTCAGACTCCCAGTGTTAAACGTGTTTAGGTTTTTAAGCTATATGTTCCCGTCTTCTCCCGTGTCTGGGCTTGGATCATTGCACTTCCCAAGTCAGTTAAAATAGGTGTTCCATTCTAATTTCACGAGGACTTGTTTCTGTCTGGTTGTGCATTTAAATGAGCGCTGTTTAATACTTTTTCCCGTGGCCTTTTAAGTTCCTGAAGTGGAAATGATAACTGTATAACGAATGATGTCGGAATCTACTCATTCAGTGTGCTACATAAAAGATGTCAACGTTACTAGCTCTGGTGAATGGAAAAGGATAAAAAGAGCACACATGTTACTGTTCCATGGTCACGTCAGTGGCTCGTAAAGGTGCGATATCACCTGTCCTACAGATGGAAGAACTGAGCTAAAAGACAGTTACTGGCCTGCAACTGTGAAGTGGGTCAGCGGTGTAACTGGAAACCGAGATTTTTCTGCATCTTGCTGCCCTGCATGGTAGCACTAGACCTTCAGAAATGAACCTTTTTTGAGGAGGACTATTTAGTCTAGAAGCTCTCTTTGAACCGCTAGCTGACAGGCACTTTATACCAGCTTCCAGTTCTCTAAGAGTATTCCTTGGCATTAACCTACCTCTGAATCTATTCCGTGTCTCTCGTGCAATCATAATTTGGGGTCTCTGGCAGCAGCCAGCGTAGCGTGGTCTTCAGTTATGCAAAATCTGTAAGAATACTTTGAAATGTTAAGCAATTCCATAAATGTTAGGGGTCTAATGCTGCAGCAGATGTTGAGCGTTGCCACTCGCTTTGCAGTTGTTCTCTGCCGGCCGAGGTGAAGAGAAGCCCGTTGCTAGGGCTGACGGGGTGAAACTTCACATTAGAAATCAGCCAAGTACCTTCAGCGATTTGAGCCCTGGAGCTTTGCTTTTGTGTGAGAATCTCATGTAACTTTTTGATGTTTCATTTCACCAGGCAGTAATGTTTTTCTTTAGGAGGGGGGGTGGAAATAAAGTTTTTGAAAAGAATAGGTAGCTGTTGGCCTTTCAGGGTTTGGAAACCTACTCGTACAGCATCTTTTGGATGTACAGGGATGCAGGTTTGATCGATCCCAGGCCGCCACGTGCATTTTGGCAGGAGCGTTTCACCCGAGGGTGAATGAGTTATGCTATAAAGGATGAAGTTTTTGAAGGCCTTCCCAGACTGCAGGAGAGAGTCCAGCTAAAGCAGGATTGCCGTGGGGAGATGGGGAACAAAGCAGCTGCAGACGACTCGGGAGCATTTGGACCTTTAGTTTGAAGGAAGGGCGGTGGGAGGGTGTGGGAGTGTGGGGAGCGGAGCAGGAAGACCAGCCTTCCAGGCCTTGATATGAATGATTCATTTGTGTTAAGAAATGTCTTGTTGTTGTCGTCCCAACCCAGATATGAGTACCACTGGGCAGACGGGACAAACATAAAGAAACCAATTAAGTGCTCTGCACCAAAGTACATTGATTACCTGATGACTTGGGTCCAGGATCAGCTGGATGATGAAACGCTATTTCCTTCTAAAATAGGTAAAGTAAATAAAATTGATCGATGTATTTGGATTACAGTTGTACAGGAATATTCATTCAAGTCTTAGAACATTAAAAGGTCTCCTAAATGACTGACTGGAGTAGAGCAACTTTAAAAGGTTACATTATATATATAAAAGCACTTTTTTTTCTCTTCACATAAAATTTATGTGGTAGGACATGAACTCTGATCTATGTGTTGTTAATGCTAATGAACATCTATCATAATTTTGAATGAAGGAGGTAATGTTTCTCGTTAATAACTGACCGTGTTGATCACATCAGATGTTGTCTTCATTTTGAACTTTGAATTTAGAAATAGGGCAGAGGCTCTCAAAACCTTATAACCAGTAATTGGTATAAAGTGGCAGCTTTTTGATGCGGGCAAGATGCCCGGTCCTCGTAAGGAACAACTTCTAGGCCTTGCCTCCAAAGAAGCTCTACTGCATCTTTGATTTTAAGTTAATGGTTTTGTGTTGGGGTTTTTTTTGGGTTTTTTTTCCAAGTGAAGATGAAAGATGTATGGTTTTAAGATGTTTCTTTGCGAAAAGCAGGAGGAAAATAACGAACAACCACCAGTTCGGAAACGCTAACGAGAAGAAAATCCTGCTTCTGGGGGCACGAAGGACTATTTGTTCTCAAGCTCCTAACTGGCAGTTTTCCAGTACACCACTACTCATAGGCTTATGATCCATTGGGGAGAAAGGAAGGGAGATCTCTTCATTGCTTTTGTTTTGTGAATAGTTTCTGAAGCCTTTGACACCTTTTTGGTAGGCCTCCTTTTCAGAGAACCAGGGCCACCTGTCAGAATCAAGTGGCGTTTGTTTTTACGTGCAGTTAAGCAGACGGGCAGAGAAGGCTGGTTAGTTTGGGAGGAAGTGACAACAAGCGAAATCTTCCCCGCTCAGTAGATGTGAGCGTGGTTTCTTCGTGTACTGTCGCGTTCGTTTCAGTGTTTCTGGGCAGGGTTCAGAGCTGGGGTAGAAGTCCGCTACTAATAAGAACGATATTTAATAGTTACAGTTAATATTAAAGTTGGTTTTCAAAAGATGACGTGAGGACTTCATATTTCTTTAACTGCAGCATGTACTTTGCTGAAGACTTTTTTTCCTTTAATAGGATGTATTTTTGGAAGGTAGTGATTCAGAAAGAGACTAAAAGGCCGCAATGGATAACCAACTAAATAGAAACTTCCCATGCGATGCAGCAGCCAGTGAAGGAAATGTGATGTACATGTAAGCAGAGCAAGCTTGAGTAGGAGTAGGAAAATTATATTGTTAGGGTTGTAAAGCATTGGTGAGATGGTGATTGGCCGATAGCATCCGGCTTGGGCCTCTGGCCTTCAGACAGGGCTTCAGCCGTTGGAAGGACTGCAAAAGAACTAAGCTGACTGGGAAAACTGCTACGTGATGAGAAGCTAGACAGGTTTAAATCTTTTTAGACGGTTGATACATATCTTTTTTTAGCCTGCGGATGTGTCAACTAAAGAGATTATTGCTCCCAGTAGCCGGTTGCTCTTTCCTAACCAATTTTAATCAAATGTCGTCACTGACAAAGATCTGCCATTGAAACTGATGTTACCTGTCTTGGGTCATTGTCACCGAAATGACTGAAAGGAGCATGTTTCGCAGTGCTTGAGCAGGCAATTAAGAAAGCAATAGCCGGAAACAGGAGTCTTTTTGCTGGGCGTGATGCAGATGGAAGAGAGCCTATTTCTGGTTTCACCTTAGCTAAGAGAAGTGTACAACTCGATGGCTGATACCAAGGGTGGTTTCAGGTACCTCCACAGAGGTATCTAGTGTCCCTTGGAGCACCCCGTGGTATCTCGGGCACGTGCACAGGGCCATCGGTGAGTCTGGGAGCCTGCAGGAGACTTCCCCTCTGCTGTATTGGTGGTCAGAGGCCAGGCAGGTACTGAGAGGGCATCTATAAGCGCATGAGGTACCTGTATTTGGGTATCGGAATCCTACTGCAAGGGAGGAAGCTTCAGGTACCTGTATTGGGGTATCAGAATCTTACTGGAAGGGAGGAAGCTTCAGGTACCTGTATTGGGGTATCAGAATCTTACTGGAAGGGAGGAAGCTTCTCAGTCAGAGAAGGCTCTTCAGGGAACTCGACTGAGGCATAACAAGATGTAGTAGCTGGAAGCTGAAGCTAGGAGGGTTCAGCGTAGGAAGGCGGTCAGATTTGTCTTGCAAAAAGTTCACGAGCCACTGGTCTACTGAGGGGAGGGAAGCCTTCTCTCTGGCCTTTCGATGAGCTCGTTGTCGTGCTTCAGCCTAAATATGTTCTGTGATTTACAGATGGAATTGCTGAGCGAAACGGAACAGCCCTTCTTGTGCAAGAGATAGGGTTGGGTTATAATGGCTTTCAAAATACGCAAACGTGGCGTGGGCATTTAAAAATAAGCCATCTGTTGTCTTATTTCTAGGTGTACCGTTCCCAAAGAATTTCATGTCAGTGGCAAAGACAATTTTAAAGCGTCTCTTCAGAGTTTATGCTCACATTTATCACCAGCACTTTGATCCAGTGATCCAGCTACAGGAAGAGGCACACCTTAACACTTCTTTCAAGCACTTTATATTTTTTGTTCAGGTAAGTGCGGCAGGAGCATTATGGTTACAATTATATTCTGGAAAAACGTATCCAAGTACTGCCCCTTCAGTTCCTTAACACCTGGTGTATTTGTAGGAGAGTCAACATCTCCAGGACCCTAAGGTAGTGTCGTTGTCATGCTCCATTTTTATGTGTATTTACTGCTAGAAGCATTCAGAGAATGGAAGAGATTTCGACAAAGTAGTTGTTGACTTCAAAATTGAATACTGAAAGTGTTCCCTACCAAATAATTCAGTAGAACAGTAATTCCTAATGAAAGAGAGAGGACGCTATCTGAAGCTAGATTGATAAGAGTGTGCTTGCTTCAGAGATGCTTTACGCCTTCCCTTAAAAAAAAAAGAGCATCTTTGTACACTTCTGTCCTTTAAATCGGGGGACAAGCTCCAGGCGGTTGAATGCTGCTATTCAGCTAAGGGCAGCCAGGCAAAACATGCTGTAGTGGCTAAGCCTGGACTCAGAGCGCCTGCTACTGAAGAAATTCTGTCTGGATAAGACTTCTCACCTGAGCTGCGCTTAGAAAACGCTGTATCTATGTCTGTTGTCTTACCCCTTTTACAGGAATTCAACCTTATTGATAGAAGAGAACTTGCACCGCTTCAAGAACTGATTGAAAAACTCACCTCTAAGGACAGATAAAAGGAAGAGGATTTCTTGAAGTCACTTGTTTCTTTAAGCAAGCGTGTGGTATTTGTTTTTTGTTCGTTTGTTTTTTTTAAAAAACAAAAACCTGTGCTGTTACTAATGACAGCCAAGATCTACTTTCTGTGCTTTTATTAGGGGAAATCTTATCTGTTAGTGACACGTGGCAAATAGCTTTTTTTTTTTTTTTTCTGATTGTTGTTACTCATTGTGGAATTTTAGCAGGTGCTGAGCATTTATAAATGAAATGTGCTTGGTTGGGGGATTGACTCTGCTGGTGGATGGGTTCTTGTATTGTGTCAGTGGTTGCCCATTCTCATGAAGTCCCTAGAAGACTTGCTTACGTTTTCTAAGTGCCTTGGCAGACTCACTTCTGAGGTGCAAAGCACATACAATACTGAACATTGCTGGAAACAGGAAATATGAACTAACACCCAGGACACTTACTGATACTTGTTTTAGAAATATATATATATATGCTTACACTAAAAAAAGCCATAACTTACTGAAATCTATGATCTCCAGCTTTTAATACAAATACTTGTCTTATTTTTTTAGAGATTAGTATAGGATTTTTCAAAACTAGATATTTCTGACAAAGAAAAGTAATGGCAAAGTTCTAGTCGCTCAAGCGAAACGATGAAGGTGCTGTCGAAATGACAAAGAACCTGTGCTTAGCAAGTAGCTACATGTCTGTTGCCGTTGGGTTTGGCTTTTTGTAGTTGCTTTTATTTTTTTAACAGGGAAGCAGCAACTTGGGTCGGTCACTTTTGTGAAATTTCCTAGCATTTGCCAAATGAACGGTTCGTTTGCACAAATACGGTTAGGGAAAGTAGTCAATATTAAAAAAAAAAATAAAAAAGCACTGGGGTAAGACTAAGAAAAACCTGGCTTGAAAAGTAACTAGCGAATTGATGTTTGTGAGTTGTGAATAAGAAGCCTGGCTCTGTGGAGGAGCTCTGGTGGCCAGTGTTTTCTGTGGTAGAGAACATAGCTTGGAGGGAATGTAATTTCGTGGACCACTTTGGATGTACGTTAGCGTGATGGTGTTCTCCCCCGTTTCAAAATGCAGCCCATCTCCGAGCAACTAGAGCAGTTGGGACAAGTAATAGGAACATACCAGTGAATTTTTAGTGGTTTGCCATTTGGTCCATCATGTATTTCTGAGAAAACCTAACCTAACTGTGGCCTTCCCCCGCGCCTCTCTAGCCTTGTGTTTTCTCAAACCAGCAATGAGAATCGCCTGCGAGATGTTAACCTCTGGGGTGACCCGCACGCGATGACTTGGAAATTTCTGTTGCAACTCTGTACTGGTCAGGTTTCCTCCTGCAGAAGCCCGTATGACTAGCTCTCTTGTTCGTTTATGGATCTTGTCAGAGCCGTTGTATTTCAGATTCAGAGAAATCTGTATAAGGTTCTGCAACGTGCTCTCCCGCGACGTCACTGGTTGCCAAATGCAGCGCGCTAGGTTGTTAACGTTGCCAGGCTCGGCTAGATTGTCACGCCGCAACCCCCCCCCCATTTGTAGACCTGAACAACCCGAAGGCCTTGACTGAGCGGTGTACGCTAGACTGACTCTTGAACCTCTCAAATTTACGGGGGAAGCCAAGGTTAGCATGCGACAGAAAACTTGAGCTTAGGTTTTGTGTGCCTTTGCTTGACTGAAAATGCTGAGTAAAGGGGAAAACACTGTGCAGCAGCCTGCAGAATTTCTAAGGGGCTATTAGTGTAGCCAGCTAATAAACACCTAAGCGCAATAATAAACCTACACTCGTTTGGGAGACTAGAACGACTACTTCTGAGTTAAAATGATGTATGTCGGAAGCATCTGAAGGTTAGTTTAAGAACTACGTTACCTTCAGTGGAGTTAAATTTCCTAGTCTGCCTGAACTGCTTCCTGGAGAAGCAATTGAATGTTTTGTTACCTCTTCTGTCTTCCCCCCCTCCCTCGAAAGTCTTGAGAACAATTGAGAAAACCTAGTATTGAGCTAGAAACTGGCATTGTGTACTTACTTCACTGCTGCTTATTTAGAAATGCAGACATGGAGTGTTGCCTAGAAAACGTAGCGAGTGTTGGGCTCCTTGGCAGATCAGTGTCACTGCCCATTAGCATCTGCTCAAAGGACAAGTGGTATTTTCAGTTATCCTTATGTTTTGGCTTTTTTTTTTTTAACGTCCTACAGAATTACCAAGTTTTCTTCATGTGTGGATGTCAAAGGAAAGGTCTTTTATACTGTATTTTCCTCAGCAGTAGGGTGGCAATGCTAGCTCTGGTGCAGGCTTGGGGGGTTCTCGTAGCAAAGGACTGAGTAACGCAGAAGACGGTCGTCTTTTCAGAGTTACGGGAGCGGTCGGCGTCCACCTGACTGTGCAAAAGCAGCTTAGCTCCCAAATTTGAACTGCACTATTTTAAACAGTACTCAGTCATGCAGGAAGCTGACTTTAAGAACGTGATCTTACACACGCAGCTTTTTATGCGTGCTCCTGTCTGACGAGAGTCTAATGACTGCAAATTTCCAGCTACAGGGGCGTGAAGAGCGCCACAGGTGCGGTTTGATATTAAAAACCCTGTAAACCTTCTAATGAAAACCGCTTTGCTGAGTTGAGTCAGCGCTGCTAAGAGGCCGCGGGTGCATGTTCACTTACCGGAGAGGAGCCTTTTAACCGTGCTAGAGCTCGTGGTATCACAGTTACATTTTTGTTTTTAAATAGCCAATTCTAGAAATTCAGAGACATCTGCTGCAGTTCAGCCAATAAGAATTAGAATGTATTAGATAAAAACCCTACTTTTATGTGGATAGTGTATTTTTTGTACTTAGTATCTGGCAGTGGAACACACTTTTACAGAATAGTTTCTAGGAGTGTAGTAAAAGCTTGGAGATCATGATTTGCCTGACAGCTGTATGAACACATTGTTTAATTATTCAGCACTTGAAAACAACAATATTAAAGATAAGTATGCGGTGGTTGGGATTTAGTATCCCTATGCTGTTTATACTTGCAGCTTTTAATTGTTTTTTTGCTTCAAAAAGATGTGGGACCAGAAGTTGACGTGTGTTTACACTCTTGAAGTAAGGGCAGGTTGGAATGCTAAACAAAAGTGGCCATGTTGTACAAACCGAACCTGGATCGAGCGAATGTGTTGATAAAATAGCGCATTTGTTGGGGGCAAGGGGGAGGACATCCCTCTTCCCCCAAATAAAACCCAGAGAAACGAACCCTGAACAAACCCCACGTTACCAAAGGACTCTGTTAGGTGTCGCGAGCGCTTGGAGACAAAAACTTTTGGCTTGGTTGTCGTCGGGAGCGGGTCAAAGCAGGCTGGGCCGCCGAGTGTAACAGGGTCCTTAAATTCTGTGGTTCGGGGTGGTTTTCAGCTCCCAGCGTGTTAAACCGTGTCAGTGATTTGGGTGGTAACTTCAGGAGGTCATCTACCTCGAGATGGGATGGGGCAAACTCTGCTAGGTTCATATAGTTCCGGCACCGTTGCCGACGTTGACGCCGTTTAGATGGCGTGGATACGTGATGTGCGCAGAAATAGGTTTTTTTGAGCCTTTCAAATGGAAGTCAGGGATACAAGTTAATCACGCAAATAGAAAATAAACCCGCCACATTCTGCTGTCGCAGGTAGCCGAAGGGTAGATGGAGAAAACAGGTTTCAAGGAGCAGGTGGCCTGCCTGCAAGTATCAAGTTTCTTTTACTGCTTACTATGCAATGTAGAGCTTAGAAGTTCCGCTTATCCTTTACGATATAGAGGAGCACTGTCCTTACTCAGTATTTGGGAACTGAACACTCTCCCTGACACTCACTTAACAGGTAAGGATACCTATTTGCTGCTATGGACTTTACTTACCTTTCAGATAATTCCTTTCTGTTTCTCGCCCCCCCTCCCTTTCTCTTGGATCACCAGACCCAATTTCACTATAAACACATCCTTTTTGGATAGTTGTTTTTTTTTTTTTTGCGCCCCTCTCCCCCCTTCCTGCCTGCCAGAGTGCTGTATTACTGTATATAACCCGCCCCCTTTCAGTTGGAGTGTTTAAAAAGCTGCAGCACGAACGCAGACTCCGTGCTCTTCTTTAACGGAAAGATTGCCCGTTACTCTGAATCTTGTTTCCTTCGCTGCTGATAGGAGTTGGGTTTTTTTGGGGTTTTTTTTTTTTTTCCCAACTGCACTACTAAAACCACTAGCAGTTTTCTGGATGCCTGTCGTCTTTTCCTGGATATCTTCTCTTGTAAGGCGAGACTAACGTTGGTTATTGTAAGTGATAAACCTTTTTATTTTCCTGTTTTTCTTACAATTTCCTCTTGCCAGGTTAAGATTACAGTCTAGGTAAATATCAGAGTACACTTTTGTTCGAAGAACCAATTCTCTAAAGTGTTCATAGAGTATTGTATTTTTAGGGGAAATTAATTTTTATAGCCACTAAACTATACTCATTATTTTTGTACGTTTGCAACTTCTGACATTTTTCAGAGACGTGTCGCGGAGGGAACACTTATTTTCATGGCTGTTTTACTACTTGGGTATGCTGTGGTTGTGTTGCTTAGTACCTAGAAGCACATACCTCGATGCGCAATGGAAGAGAGAGGAGAAGGCAATAAAAGTGAAATGAGGTTTCAATAAAAGGCCATTTCGGAATGAAAAAGATAAAAAAAGATATTACAAAAGCAACACTAACCTTTCCTCCTCCTTTAGAATCTTAAAATATATGGGAGAAAATGCAGTGTAAAATGTAAAATGCAAGATGAGAACCCTTACTGTAAGCTAACTGTGCCAATATCGCTTCAGTTTGTAGTCACTGATTGATATTTTAGTTTTAATAAACTAAACAGCTTTTGATTAAAAACAGGAAAAAAAAAGTTGAATGTCTGAAAAATCTGCAACGTGTTTATTTGAGAGTTGTAAATAATGTATACAGATTGTTGTATGTGATGGGACAAAATATTTAAATTCTAGGTTTTTTTCAATAAGAAACTGAAGGCTGTTTATAAGAGAAAATAAATAGCTATGTTTGACCATGATTGTCTTATTTCCTTCTTCAACTTATTTCTAAATTATCTTCTACTTGTGGATAGATTTTTTCCCCCCCTGTACACTGTACACATGCGAACATCACACATACAAACTAGATTTTTGTAATTGCCTTGTGCGAATTTGTGAATATTTGTATTGCAGGCAGACACAAAAGCAATAAACCAACCTGGTACCCTTTTCCTTTCCTTGTTTCCTCACCTGAATTTACCCGGAGCGGATGGAGCTCGCTGCGGGATTTCCCCCAACAGGTTCAGTGTCGCACGAAGCGCATCTCGGCGCGGTTTTAGAAGCTTTGCTGCGAGGAGCGGGTCGCGTCGCAGCCGTGGCGCGGTGCTGCCTCAGGTCACCAGCAAGATGCGGGTTCCGCTTTTGGCCGTGCTCGGCAGCCCCGGTCCCTCGTTCGCTTGTTTTTTCTCTTAAAAGCGCCCCGGACAGCTGCAGCACTCCAGCTTTCC